TAGGGAGGTGCCCCGCAGAGAGCCCTGCGGCTCGTCCTGGTGGCTTGGGAAGCAAGTCCCCAAACGCCGGCACTGCGAATGCCGAAACGCGAGCGCTGCTCCCGCAGGAGCTCAGCGCTCCAGCGCGGCCCCAGGGAGCGAGTCGCTCTGGGGACTGGCAGCTGCGCTCCACGTGGGAAGGGGTGGAGGAGCGCGTGGTCTCGTCCCAGCCCGGCATCAGTTGGCCCGGTTTGTTCATAACCGTAGCGGAGCGGGCAGGCGGCACGGTGCTGCCGGCTGTGCTCACGGTCACGCGGCACAAGCCCTCGTGAGATGCTTCTGGGCTGGATCACGGCGTCAGAGCAGCAGGCAGCACCTGGCCATTCTGCTTCTGCTGATGGTTTTTCTCTTTGTCTCGTTTTGGCCTTCAGGATGACATGACCGACTCACTCCGGGATTACACCAACCTGCCGGAGGCTGCGCCCCTGCTCACCATCCTCGACATGTCAGCCAGGGCCAAGTACGTGATGGATGTGGAGGAGATCACGCCAGATATTGTGGAAGCCTTCGTGAGCGACTTTCTAGCAGACAAGCTAAAACCCGAGCCCATCTAAGGGGGCTTCTGCACCCACAGACGTTATTTAAAACTAGGTCTCTCTTCCGCCGCTCATGGATTCTCCAGCGTGTTCTCACGCCCGACCCAGTATCCAACCTTCTTGTGGTGCCTTGTTTTACGCAGTGAATCCTTCTCCTAAGCAAACTCCCTGAGATGCACTTTCAGCAGGGAGTCGTTGGCGTTTGGAGACTTCGCTTGTGCTTCATGGTGATATATTCTCTAATAACCAGGCCAGAACTGTTACCATATTGTTATTTTATACACGGCACTAGCTAGCAGGCAAATTTTTCCGCGTGGTGTTCTTCTCAACATATGCATCAGGCAGTGGATGGGATTCTTGGGGCTCTTTTCTTCTCCTTCCCCTTTCCTTTCCTACAACCCTTGCAGGCTAAATTACTTCAAGGAAGCAATAAGGAGATTGTCCCCTTTGCCCCTTGCCCACCTTCCTTTCCCGCTCGAGTAACAGTGCCCTGACAAGGCCAAGTCAAAGTCTTAACTGCTGACAACCTCTGAAAGATGACAGCGCAGCCCAGCTTCTCCTCCTGGGGGTGAGAACTTTCTGAGTAGTTTTCCCATCTCCCACCTCAAACGCTTACAAAGTGTTGGCTGTATGCGTTGGGGGAAATCCACCCACCTGCAAAACACAGATACTCCCTCCCTCCAGCCCTGACCCGGGAGGGGGAACCACACCGGGCTGCCCTGCCCTGCCCTTCTCTTCCCATCCTCGTCTCGATGTTCTCGTCCTCGTCCTTGTGCTCGTCCCTCCCCCTTATCCCCTCTCTGGTATGAATTGTCTGCCCCTCTATGTTAGTTGATTGAGCTGTTTTTCGTAGGTGTGTCCCAAACCCAACGTTAATGGTGCTGTTCTTTAAAAAAAAACCCATCCCTCCCCAATTCCTAACCCAAGCAGCACAGCCGAGCCCCCAAAAAGTGACATTGTAAAAACTGTACATGGTGATTGGAACTTTGTAATAAAACTGTTATAACAACCCAGTTCTCAGAGGTGCCGATTCCCACGTGCCGCCCGGCCTGTCCGGCGTTCAGGGGTGGAGGGAGCCTGTCTGGGACTTGCGTGAGGAAGAGGAGTTTCCCGGCTGGACGGGGGGCAGGTGGAGCAGCTGCCCCCCAGCGTGGTAGGTGTCGGTGCAGACGGCTCCCAGTGCCGTGGCGGGCAGGCCTGGATCCCGTCCCCCTTCCCTGGGGCCGGCGTAGCCCCCTCACGTCCTGCTGTGCGCCGGGCTTGTTGTGGGGCCGGTTGGGGTGCAGGCTGGCGCCCGGGGCAGCCCCCGCC